ACTTATGATTGAGCACAAGCCACCACAGCCTTGGACAACTTGACAATGGAAGTAGGTAACCAGCCCCGTTTTCTGCCTAAACAGGCTAATTCCTGGGCCGAACCGTCCGAGTCGACGGGCTGACTCCTGAGCCCTGAGCCTTTCCTCTGACAGAGATTTATTCTACCAGCGTGTGAAGAAACGCCAGCGGACAAGACGGCGGCGACTATGCACTGAGGAATCGTCTGCGACCTCCCTTTAAACCATCCAAGTCCTCTAGTCCTTCGTCTGCGTCTGCCCTGGCGGACCGATCAACAGGATGAACCCGATCGGGCAGCTGGCCGGACGGGCGTGGGCGAGTCATATCTCGGCTTCGTTTGGTCCTGCGGCGCGTGGTCTGGTCCGCGGCTGTGTAGCGCCAGCATCTACTATTACACCACTTCTTGTAACAACATCTTTTGGCTCAACGGCGCCCTCTTTGACTTCTTCATCTTTGTATAACATTGGCCTCAGACGCAACTTTTCGAATACACCTGTCATCAAGGCAGCTTCTACCACGTCTAATTCTCTCCGGTTTGCCTCCAATGCCGGACGGATTGCTCGCGATGCCTTCGTTGCAAGGTAAGTCTGCCACCTTTCGTTAGGTTTATTTGTCGTTCAGCATGGTCTCTCCATCAGGCCGTCCAGTTTTCCCGGGCCCCCAATCTCGGATAGCAGAGGTCTAGCAGGCCTTGCCGGGGAAAAGGGCACCTTACCTTTGGTACCTTACCTTAGCTTACACTTTGGTACTGCAACGATCAAGAAACGCTTCACGGGCTGCCTGTACTGGAAGGTATTAGTGAGGTGGCCAATTGCGCACATCCTTGGACCGAGTCGAGCGTAGCGGCGCTTTCTGTGGTGGGCAGCCTCCACGCTTACTCATGAGTCCAGAGTGGACGACCCCTCCCCAGAGAAGCCAACGCCAACCTTACCAGCTTGACCCATGCAGGGACCTTTTGTGTGCCCCTCGTTGCCCCTCACCTCGGAGCATCAACATTGATCCACCCGCAACTCTCTCCTTCACCTTGCCCAGTTACCATCGCGAAACAGAAACCCACCACCATACCACCACTCCTAACACGCGCCAGTCGTCCCATTGACGCTTGCCGCTTGCCGCTTCCCATATTCCCAAGTAGGAAGGCACACTCTTGTGGAGCTGCACAGCTTCTGATCGAATCCATTACACTCATCTTTTTTTGCCCTCCTCCCTACTACCACCACCTAACTCTCTTCCACTTCTTGCGTCCTCCCATTTTTTGTTCCCTTGTCTCACTACTCCTCTTTGTCGCCTACCAAACTGACATAAAGCTCGCCCCGCGGACATAGCTACCGCCGACCTTCTTCCTTCCCCACACCCTCCCACCGCAACTACTGCTCGACCATCACCACATCCGACAAGGCACTTTACGCCAGCAGAGTCGGCAACATGGCTGATCGCGAAGTTCTCCCGGAGTCGATTCGACCCTCTCACTATGTCCTGTCCCTCCGCGACCTCAATTTCAAGGACTGGACTTACAAGGGAACCGTGACGTAAGGATACTCCCTACCCCCCACCCCGCGCGAGCTCTGAGCTTCAGCTCCAGCTCCAGTTCCAACAGACACACCAGAGACATCCCCAAGGTACTAATATCTTGCTTTCTTACAATAGCATCGACGCCGAGGTTGTCAAGCCCACCAAGGAAATCGTCCTCAACGCCCTCGAGATCAAGCTGCTCAGCGCAAAGATCGCTGTTGGCCACACCAAGTCGACGCAATCATGGGAGTCCACCAACTTCAGCTACGGCGAGAAGCAGCAGCGCGCTACCGTCACCTTCGATGAGGAGATCCCCCAGGCTCAAAAGGCTGTCCTGACCATTGAGTTCGAGGGCATCATCAACAACGAGATGGCCGGCTTCTACCGCAGCAAGTACAAGCCCGTCGTCGAACCCGCCAAGTCTGTGCCCCGCGACGATGAGTGGCACTACATGTTCAGCACACAGTTCGAGTCTTGCGACGCTCGTCGGGCCTTTCCATGCTTCGACGAGCCTAACCTCAAGGCCACGTTTGACTTTGAGATTGAGATCCCCGAGGACCAGGTTGCCCTCAGCAACATGCCCGTCAAGGATACCAAGAAGACCAAGGAAGGCTGGCAGCTCGTCTCCTTTGAGACCAGCCCGAAGATGAGCACTTATCTCCTTGCCTGGGCTGTTGGTGACTTCGAGTACGTTGAGGAGTTCACCGAGCGCCGTTACAACGGCAAGCAGCTGCCCGTCCGTGTCTACACCACCCGTGGCTTGAAAGAGCAGGGCCGTTGGGCTTTGTGGCACGCGCCCCGCATCATCGACTTCTTCTCCGACATCTTCGGCATCGAGTACCCCCTGCCCAAGGCCGACCTGCTGGCTGTGCATGAATTCACCCACGGAGCCATGGAGAACTGGGGCCTCGTCACCTACCGTACAACCGCTGTGCTCTTTGATGAGAAGACGTCCGAGGCTAGGTACCGCAACCGTGTCGCCTATGTTGTCGCTCACGAGCTGGCTCACCAGTGGTTCGGTAACCTGGTCACCATGGACTGGTGGGATGAGCTTTGGCTCAACGAGGGTTTCGCCACCTGGGTTGGATGGCACGCTACAGACTACCTGCACCCCGAGTGGCAGGTTTGGTCTCAGTTCGTCAACGAGGGTATGGAGATGGCCTTCAAGCTTGACGGCATCCGAGCCAGTCACGCCATCCACGTACCCGTCAAGGACGCCCTTGACGTTAACCAGATTTTCGACCACATCAGCTACCTCAAGGGTTGCTCAGCGATTCGCATGCTCGCCAACCACCTAGGTGTCGAGACTTTCCTCAAGGGTGTCTCCAACTACCTGAAGGCCCACCAATACGGTAACGCCAAGACCAAGGCATTGTGGGATGCTCTCACTGAGGCATCCGGCAAGGACGTGAACAAGCTGATGGGCCCCTGGATTTCCAAGATTGGCCACCCCGTTCTGACCGTTGCCGAGGAGCCCGGCCAGATCTCTGTCAAGCAGTCTCGTTTCCTCTCTACTGGTGACGTCAAGCCCGAGGACGACGAGACCACCTGGTGGATTCCTCTTGAGATTGAAGGCAAGGTCGGCGCCAAGGGCGTCACGTCACTGTCCCTCGAGAAGAAGGAGGATACGATCCGTGATGTCGACACCGACTTTTACAAGCTCAACTCTGGAGCTTCCGGCTTTTACCGTGTCAACTACCCCCCTGAGCGTCTTCTGAAGCTGGGCCAGCAGCTCGATCGCCTCACCACCGAGGACAAGATCGCCATCATCGGCTCTGCCGCTGACCTTGCCTTCTCTGGCTACGGCACCACCGCAGCTCTCCTCTCCTTCGTTCAAGGTTTCGCCAAGGAGGACAACTACCTGGTGTGGAGTCAGGTTCTCGACTCCATTGCCCTGGTCAAGTCCATCTTCAGCGATGACGAGACCATCAAGAAGGGTCTGGAGGCCTTCACACTAAAGCTTATCAACGACGTCGTGGCGAAGATGGGATGGGATTTCCCCGAGGGCGAGAGCTACCTCGACGGACTCCTCCGCAAGAGGGTTCTCTTGACTGCTGGTTTTAACGGCCATGCTGGGTAAGCATGATCTTCCTTGATGAATCTGTATTTTTTACTAACAATTGCAGTGTCACCGAAGAGGCCACCAAGCGCTTCAACGCCTGGATCGAGTCACCCGAATCCAACCCCCTGCACCCCGCCCTCCGCACGCCCGTCTTCCGCGTTGCCATCAAGAACGACACAGCCCGCGCCGTCGAGGCCCTGAAGAAGGAGTGGTTCACCACCCCCGCCATCGACGGCAAGGAGATCTGCCTCTCCAACCTCGGCTTCGTCCGCGACGAGGATATTATCAAGAACAACCTGCTTCCTTTCCTCTTCAACAAGTCCCCGCCCGCTCCGGCCTCGGACTCCGTCCCGTCCGCCGACATGCACTCCCTCGGCTCCGCCCTCGCCGGAAACTCGGCCGCCCGCCAGATCCAGTGGGACTACGTCAAGAACAACTGGGAAGCCTGCGTCGCCAAGCTCGGCAACCCCATCGTCGTCGACCGCTTCATCCAGGTCTCCTTGGGCAAGTTCACAGACTTTGAGTCCGTCAAGGACATTGAGGCTTTCTTCGCCGATAAGGACACGAGCGCTTTTAGCCGTACCCTTGAGACTGTCAAGGACAAGGTCCGTGGCCGTGCGGCATACCGCGAGCGCGACGCTGCTAAGCTGAAGGAGTGGCTCGTTGCCAACAAGTACGCGTGAATCGATGCGGGTGGAGAAAGAGCAACTGGAGGAGTACAGAAAGGGAATATTCCAGCCAAGTTGTAGATGACTAGCTACTACATGCTAGTTTGCAGAAATGTAAAATTCAATATCGTTTACGTTGTCAAGTCTCTGACCGAGTGCCGAGGCGATTTAGAATGCGTTTTACTCGGCTCTCCAATGCAAGTAAGTGTGTGCCACTTGATAACTGAAGGGAACCTTTTACTGTTTACCAATCGTGCGCCTATGAAGCAAAATTTTCATTTCTACACGGACGGCTCATGAGGAGGCATTTCTAATCGCAATGCCACACACGTTCATTACCTATACAGCCAGGACGCCAGGAAGCATGCCTAAGCTAGCCTGGTTCATTTGTCTTGTTCTCGAACCTAATGTACGCTTTGTAAAGAAACCTCCAGAACCTCAAAAAAAAAAAAAAAAAAACAACAACAAGAGCCCATCCATCCATCATTACCACTCCTAAAAGGTGATTTTCCATGGGAGGGTCAGATTAGCCCAACCAGCCCGTTCAAACGCCGGAACCCGAGCAAATCATGCATATCTTCATTCCGTTACCGCCCCCCCCTAAACTCGCTCTTCCTCTTTTGGCCATCATTTCCACCTCCATTCATACCCTCTGCGTCTGTGTCGCACTTTGAAGAAGAGACTCTGTTTCTGCTTTTTGAATCATACGCGAGTCAAACATGTACACGCAGGTGGCATATCAGCTTTGAAACGCAGCGCGGCGGAGATTCTGCATCATCCTCTCGACGAGGGCCGTCGAGTCCGCGGGTACTTCGGGTAGAGGCACATCGGCTTCAGGAACTTGCTGGGGTGGGAGGTACGGCGGCTGCGCTTGCGTATAGTGTTGTTGCGACGGCGGCGGATGCTGCTGCTGCTGCTGCTGATACTGCTGTTGGTATTGCTGCGGCTGCTGATGCTGATGATATTGCTGGTGTTGGTGATGCTGCCAATGTCCTGGCGAAGGTGCCCAGGCTTGGGGTTGCTGTGCCAGCTGCTGCTGCTGCTGCGTCGCTCCCCAATTCGAACCATGGTTCTGGTATGCTGGCGTGGCAGTTGTCTGCGGCGCTACCGGCGACGGCATCGACTGATGTGAAGTTGTTGTGGGAGTCGGCGGGTTCATGCGCGGTTGGGTAGCAATCTGGGCCAAGATCTCCGCCGGGTTGAGAGAGTGATGCTCAGTCCGGGATTGATTCACAGACGAAGTGAACGGCTGGGTCGACGGCGTCTTGTAAGCCTGGAGATTAGGCTGCGTAGGCTGTCGAGGGAACGCCGTAGTCACTGATTGGTTCGTAAAAGGAATTCGAGAGGTTGGAGCCAGGACCGGCGTGGGCGGCACTGGCACGGCACTTTGAGCGAGGCGAGGTGCGGTTTCTATCATTGGACCAGCTGACGTTGTTGGCGCCTGCAAAGGAAAATTGGCTTGCACTGAAGAGCCCTCAACGGTTGCCGTTGAGGCAGTCCGATTTGCACCCTTTCCCGAGCTAGGAGCCGGGCATGATGTCGTGCTTTGGAAAGACGCCCCGGTTGAACACGAGCTGGCCTTGGACGGAGTGGCGGCCGAGGGTATTTTGCCCATAGCCGCCAGGTACTTGGCCGGCAAGGGAACCGGTGTCTGCTTCTCGGGGATCTGTTCTCTGGTTAGCATGGATTTGGTCCACCTGCCGGAATAGCATATACTAAGCGGTCATACTTTGTACTGCACCTTCGGCGCAGCGGACTTTGCTGCAGCCTGAGGTTTCGTCTGCGTAGGTTGAGACTGGCAGGCAGGAGACTGTTGCGGAGTCTGCTGTGGAATAGGCTGTTGCGAGGGTTGCTGTTGTGCCGATTGAGCATGCCGAGCATGCTGTTGTGGCTTGTTCGCCCAAACTCCGTACTGTGGCCGAATCGCTGGGTGTAGCGGCGCCAATTGTGGCTGCTGTGCATGCCAATCCTGACTTTGACCATTCGAGCTGGGTTGAGAGCCGCCTGGTGCAGGGGATGGAGATATCGATGAGTGAAACTGCGTCCTTGTGGGATTCTGAGGCATCTGTGACTTTGGTGAGGAGTAAGGGGCCGTTGTTTTGACACCATACATGTCAATAGAGCCTTGTGGCATCATATTTGTCAGTGTGTTATGGTATGGGTCGCCGTAAGCAGGTCCATTCGGACCGGTAGTTGGAGCGGGTGTCGGAATGCCTCCCTGAACGGAGCCTTGCCGGTTCTTGAAGAATGCCTCTGGAGACGTTCGCATAAGATGAGCTCGCAGGTTACCTTCATATCCATTGGTGAATCCTCCCCATGGAGCATAAGGAGTTCGATACGTCTTCGAGTCTCTGTTAAGTGTGTGAGTAATATTGATGAACTTGCTGGGTTTGGGGAGTTCTGACCTATTGTGGTGAACCTGGAAGAATGCATACTTCATAGCGACAGAAGGCGTTGGCGCGGCAGAGTATCTGCGATGATTCTGCTGAGTTGAGCCTTGCGAAGTGCTGGGCGGTAAAGGAGGCCTGGGGTTCTGCGACTGCATCGCCCACGTTCGTTGCGATGGTCGCGCACCCCCTGCAGGTTGCGGACCTGGGGTGCTGTACGGGCTTGGCCGGTGCATCGAGTTCGGAGTTGCGTGGTAACCCTGCCCAGCCGGAGCGGGACGAGGCACATATGATTGATGTACATCAGGCGCAAACTTCTGTTGAACAAATTGAGTTCCTGGGATCGGGTATCGAGGATCAGATCCGAAGTGGAGTTGCTGCCCCCCTGGGCTCGGAGAGGCGGAAGCTTTGGGTGTAAACTTTTGGGTGGTGAAAGATCCAGTACCAGCATAGTTGGTTTCGACAGGCTTCCTGGGCTTATAAACGTATGGCTTCTCCGACTTTGGCCCGTTCTGATTGGCAACCCCCAGCGTAAACATGGGCGATGGCGATGGCTGTGGTGGAATGGCTGACACCCTGCGATGCGACGTGCTTGCGGAAACAGGCTTAGGAGGCTTCGGAATAGTGTCAAGAAAATTGCTCTTAGGGTTGTGCAGCTGCTTGGCGGGATCATCAGAGTACTGTGCCTTCGCCTCCGTTGAGGTCTTGCCGAGGTAGTGCCAGACTTGGCTTTCTTTCGACAAATCAACCTTGGTCTGGTTGGGATTAGTACAATCATGGCATGGGTGGAATTCTGCCCATGTATAGCCCTCGATGAATGGAGCATCCTTCCGGGGGATTTCATCAGCAGGACGCTTCGCATTGAGTTGATTCTTGGCTTTCTGCGACGATGGCATTGGGATAGCCTTGACAGAAGCCTTCGAGAGGTGGTAGTCTGACGGGTCGGGCAGCAAAAGCCACTTCCATTCAACCTCGAGACGATCACTGATGCGTATTAGCCTTTGCTCATTAGAATCTTTGAATCTTTGAAAGAGACATACCCGTTGGGGATAATGTCGAGGAGCAACATCTGCTCATCGGCGTGGTTCTCAACCACGACACCAGCAAAGATGTCGCCCTTGAAGTACTGCAACTGGCAAATCTCTCCCTTGGTCAGCGCTGCCGCAGCATCGCGAATGCGCACATCATCCTCCAAGATATCACCATCATGTTTCCTATCACGCTTGGTACGATGGAAGCGACAGCTGAACTCGAATGCTTGCTCCTTATACTCAGTTCCGTCCTCGCCAAAGACGGGAACTTCGGCTTCCTCAACAAAGACACCCGCTGCAGCCGCACATGTGGCGTGGTAGGCCCGGGCACACTTCTTCTGGGAGCATTGGAAGCAGGCACCCTTCTTCGAGCGACAGTAGAGACACTTGAGATCCAGGCGTTCCTTGTTGATGTTGGCGACGTTCGCAATGACCTCCTTTCCGTCGACGATATCGATGTAAGTTTCGGGCAGGTATAGTGCGCACATCCGATGGGCCTTGCGGCCATCATCTGTTGGCAAGACTTCTGCGCCAGGAATGTCGCCTGGGCAGAGGCAGCACGTCGGCTCTGCGCGGGTCTTGACCTTGAGACGGATTCTCTTGGTTCTTGTCTTGCCTTTATCTCCAGTGACGCGCTTTCGTTTGCGAGCCGACTTGACAATGCCGTTGCTATCAGGAGGAGACAGAAGGCCAGTAGCATCGTCTTCGTCCTCATCATCGTCGTCCTCGTCGTCTTCTTCGTCAGTTTCCTCGTACTCGGGAGTCGGCTCACCACGTAGTTTTCGTTCGATATCGTATACGTCAACCCAAACACTGTCCTGCGCCTGTGCACATTCGCAACGCTTGGCGATCTTGCCCATCGGAAGCCAAGAGTCGAGCGCGAAGTTGACAGCCTCGGCGCAGTTGTAGCCCAGGTTGTATCCCGAATGGTAGCCGTAGGGGTAAGTGACGACAAATTCACCAGGGTACGAAACGCACTTATTGACCGTGATATTGTAGTGCTGCTTGAGGTGCGACGGGGAAATCAAGAATCCCTTGTGGCGAAGGAATTGATCGCAAGCCTTGGCATCCGTGGGCCATATGTTCTTCATGGCAGCCTCAAAGCGACGGGCGTCGGCTTGTGAAATGCTGTACCATTGTTTCGGGGCGCCAAAGTGGAGGTAGTTGATGCTGTAAAGGTCAACGTCCTCCAAGTGCCATGCGAAAGTGGCCTTCCACATGCCCAAGTAGAGATAAGCCGTGTTCACACCGGGAACCTTTGTCCCGAGAACATCCAGCAGATTGGGAAGCTTGTTCAAGTTCCACATTTCTGTTGACTCGTCGAAGAGAGTTCCCATGAGATCTGCGCCATACAGCGGCGGGGCGTACGTGAGGGTTTTCCAGTATATCCTCTCGAGTTCCTCGCAGCGCTCCGGGGTATAGTCAGAGACATCCATCTGATAATCAAAATCCTCGAACGCCTTTTCGTCAATCATTGCGGAACCTTCTCTCTTGCTATACTTCCGACGGGCCGAGACAGTCTGGGTCTTTGGTTTCGCCTGTCTCGTGCCACCCATACGGCCCATTCTGCCCACGGCTGGTATTTCTTCTTCGTCAACATGAATTCCAGGGTCTTCCACGGAGTCGACAATTTCCTCTTTCTCAACCTTGACATCCGCATCCGGCTTGGGGGAGACGGGAGTCATCGGTCGCTTCTCATCCTCTTGTTCGTCTTGGGCCTCATCTTCGTCTTCTTGACTCCTGCCCTTAGCTTTACCCCGGCGCGGTCGGCCTCGACCCCGCTTCTTAGACCCGGCCGGAGTTGATTTCGCCTCTGTACGAAATTTGGGGGCGGATCGGGGTTTCGGCTTTTCAACGTTTGCTCGGCGCTCGCCTCGCCTCGCTGGGGGTTGATGTTCACTCTGGTCGCAAAGTTGTCGCCACTGCGGGAGATTATAGGATCTTTGATGAAGGATATTGACTTGGCGGTAGGTTCCATTCGATCCCATGATGTCTTGCTTGATTGGTTCTCTTACTCGAATCTGCTTCACCAGGTCGTCGAGTCGGGGGAGGTTGTTTTTCCACTCGGAGGGAGGGATAATCTTGACGATGCCGGACTTCATTCCATAATGATCGACCTTGGTCATCTACAAAAACGGTCACGGTCAGCCGAGGAAAAGGCACGGGGTCATGGCACAAGGGCAAGTGGCGTGTGCATACGAATAGCTTAAAGTCCTTGAACTGATGCATCGTCGGCTTGAAGACGGGTACCGTCCCGGACCAGTGGTCGGGAAGGACTTCGCCAATGTCGTCCTCGGGCGGCGGCGGCGGCGCCGCCTCATCTTGGTTCGCAGGCGCGGATGGATCAACGGCATCCTCGTCGAGGTCGCTGAGCTCGGAATCGCTGGCTTCCGACTTGGGCGCATTATTACTGTCGGGTGGCGAGTGGAGGAAGGCGGGTTTTGCACATTCAATCTGGCCAAGCGTTGGCTCCTCGTCGTAGTCGCCAGTGGTTGATTGCGCCGGCCCAGGTGCAGGCTCCGAGATTGGAGCGCTGACAGCGTCGGTCGACATCGTGAAGGGGACTACATGCGACCGTGCATGCGCTGGATTTTCTGCCTTGCGATTGTTGAAGATAGTCGTGTCGGGAGGGTGCGCGGGTTTGGTTTGTTCAAGTCGCCGAAAATATGAGGTGCAGACGCCTTGGTGAGTGCGGAGAACAGATTCGTTCGTTTGGTTATCAGATCCTGCGGGGGGTGGCCACTGTAGAGGGAACGGCAGGAAACTGCTTCTGGCTGGGCTGCCTCGCTAAATGGGTCGATTTTTGGCGAATCTGGGCTGATGAACCAGGGCTGGCGCAGGAAGGGCGGAAGTTGCACCTCCCAAGGTACCTTATGGTAGGTATGGGTGGCAGTCGTGCGTGCACAGCGCCTGGCAAAATAGGTCCGGCTCCTAAAGATGGGTATTTCTGTTGAGAAATAAGGTATTCGTCGGCCGATTCAAATCTTCAGGGTATCAATGATACTAGAAAAGTTGTGGCCTCTGCTCCTTTTTCGTTGTACAGAGCCAAAAACCGAAGGTGTCGAGGAAGAAGCTGCACCATCGGGCACATGCGGCTGCGGTTGCTGTTGCTTGCTGTGGGGGACGGGAGAACGGGGGGTGATTCAGGTGCGCACGCACCTTCCAATTCCCAGCAGCCGACGGGGCGGGCAGTGCTGGTGACCCCCTTCCCTCTTTTGCCTTCCGTCTCCTCCCCCTTGACTTCCAGGTTCCTCGCTACCACTCTGATTAGATCTGCACTAGTCCCGACTGGGGAGGTTCCCCTGTGCCTAAGGCACGCGAGGCAAATGGAATCCAGCAGCGGAGTGCAGGGAAATGACGTCGCCCGTGTGTAAGAAAGTGCAGCCCGAGTTTGCAACCGCAGCGTCAATATTCTCGCAGATGCAATTTGACTGCATGACATGCAATGCGCAGCTTGGCTCAGGACAACCCAGATGCGGGCGATCCTTCAGCTGCGAGTGCACTGTCAAAGTCCATGTTCGACGGGCTGGCTTAAGTCGTTCGACTCATCAACTACCTCAGTAGAGCACCCATCGAATCACCTCGGATCCTGTTGAGCTATCGCCCTTTGCACCTCAGCGTTTGAAAGTGGCCGTAATAGTTGTTCTGTATCCGTACAGTAGATTGCGGGTCTCTGCGATGACGGATCGTCGGTCTTTGGAGATGCCGTCAATCCTGGCAGGCGCGCGATGGCGAAAGGAGTCAGGGGAATATCCCGCCAGGAAAACAATCGTTCCCTTCTCGAAAGCTTCGGCCAATGGAGAGAAGCATCGAGATCTGATAATCTCTCGTGGCCCGTTGAGTTCCAAAGGCTCGGGGGCGGGGCCATCTAGCCCTACCGGTCGAGACCATCCGTCGGCTGGCAACGGATCGTCCGATGATCCAATCCACCCTGGCGGCGGCTCAGCGGAGGAAGCAACCTGGGGAGAGGGGCGGACGGGAGGTTGGTGACTCCCCCTCAGCATCCACCTGGTCCTCGATGGCTCGGCTGTCACCAAAGTCGCCGAGTGAGGCAGTCCTATTGGCGGTGTTCTCATGCTGATATGGATATGTTACACCACCTTGTCGAGAACGATGTCGCAGAATGATGGTTAGGAATCCGAATCTGAGGTCCGATCGTGGGAACCCCTTATCGGACCGCGCCCGCCTGGAGTCTGGCATCATCAATCGACTCCGCGTTCTCCACGGTGTGTGAGGTGAGGGGTTGGGCAGCTGGAACTGTGAAGATCTGAATTGCACACCCCCACATACGTCCCGACCATGGGAAAGGAGGTTGAGTCGACACCTGAATGAACGTGGACCCGGAGCTCTTGGATTGAGGCCTCTGTTCCAACATCTGCTCCGACAAGACGAGCAGCAGATTGGTGACGTCGATGATAACTACCGACTTCCTGTAATGCTCGTCAGTATTGGTTTCTCGTGAAGGTCTGGCGCTTGCCTCCTGATGCAAAACTTCAAGCATCGTACGTGGATAGGTAATGACGCTGGATCTGGGTGACATGGATCGAACAAGGTGCACTCGTTCAAATACCTTCTAAGAAACCCCTCTGCCCCTTTGCAAACCCCTAATCACGATCATCGTTGAAGCTACTCCGAAGCTCACAGGGCAGCGACACGAGCACTCGGCTCGAAATAACAGTCGTTCATCATGAGCCATCAAGGTTCCCATCGATGCAATGATCACATCAGACAGCTTCGGTTCGCCAGAAAAGGGATGATGGCGGCCCGGGCTGAAGAAGTCTGTCTGTCTGTCATTCGCATCGAATGTCGAGGGTGGCGGAGTTGAGATTGACTCGGCAAGAAAGCTGAGGGGGGACATGCAAGCACGAGTCTGGAAAAACACGCACTAAGGTAGGTAGAAGGAGTATGCTGGCGTGGCTGTCGTGGGTCTCACTCTCTGAGGTGCCTGCTACCCCCCGAAAGGCATCATACCTAAGTATTCTACCTCCCGTCACCTTGCCTGACCTTATCTCAGGCACTCATCAGTCACACTGTAGCTATACCTTAGCCCCAAGCAACGTGCACGTCTCACAGATCAGAGCCAAGGACTGTAGACAATCTAACGCGCTATCAAAGCTTCTTCCCACTCAACTCTGATATCTCTACCTTGGCAAATAAATCACGCAACAGTGCCACCTGAGCTCAAATGACATCTTCTTTCCACCTTGTAACGCCTCGGGAACATTCATATCCCATATCATTACGGGGTGGGGGAGAGCGACGAGTCTGAGAAACCGTCATGAGACAAAATGTTCAAACCCCCGCCTCTGGCTAAATGCAACTGCTAGAAGAATGTACAATACGATCGTGCGTCGTCAAAAAGTTTCTATGCGTCTCTTTCTCTTCCAAGCCCCCCGATCCTCCCATCGGCAGGTCTGCTGTCCAACTGTGCCGATACGCCATGCAAGAAGTTTAATAGAAGAGAGATGTGTGAAATGAGAGGGCGCTCAGGAGGTCTCTGAAATGTATCATTCCCAAGAATGCCAGTCGGTTCAGGCAGTGCGGAGATGGTTCGATCCAAGGCCGATCAATTCGAACATCATTGGGATCAAGCCGACGCCCAGCCATGCAATACCTGCCACCAGCTGTCAGCAAATGTGGAGCAAAGTCGGATCCTGCGGAGAGGGGTGGAACTTTACCTGTATAAACAACCAGTTTGGTTACTACTTCAACATCGTAACGGACTCGGGGGCGGATGAGTCGAAGGAACATTTCCTTCTCACTGATCTCATCCTGCTGGCCGACCCTTAGCTCCACCTCGCCCTTCTCCTCGCTTGGGCTCGCCAACACGCTCCCTGTACCCATCATGCGCTCAAAGTCGTTTAGCGAGTTGCCGTGGTGACCTTGAACACCGGATGTTGTTCCCTTTCCTTCCCAATCGCCGCTCTTCTCCCGGAGCTCGTGCATACTGCCCTTGCTCTTGATGCTGCCGTTGCTGCCGATGCTCTCCCGGCGCCGGCGCTCCCGGTATGCGAGTGTCTCGTACGCATCGGCTGCACTTTGGGGTCCGATCGATACAGAGCGGCCGCGCGTTGTCGGGTGACGAATGGACTGAACCACGCGGGGCAAGTCTCTGACATTGGGAATAAGCGTATCCATCCTCGAACCTGGGTCGATAGATTTGTACATGGACGCCGGTGTGAAGAAACGTCTGGGAAGATTCCACTCGACCTTCTCCAGAAGACGGAAAAGGTGAGGGAGGCCCCTAAGCATGGTCGGTTTCATGACCTCTCGCCATACAAGGATGACAGAGACGCCAAATATAACGCGGGCCAGCACAATGTGCCAGCCCAGCGCACTGAGATCAATGGACTCGACACTATGGGCAGACCCTCTGAATGTATCAATTGAGGTCCGCCCGTACATCCATGTTCCAATCTCGAGACCAATCATGACTCCGGCAAAGGCTACGCTGTCGTCAAAGCAGGGACAGTCGTCTGCGGGCTCAGGATGTATCCTCACGAGGACGATGACAACAAGGGCGGCGATGGCAGGCGCCCACCATGAGCTGCTGTGCATATACGAATCTAGCGGCGGGCCGTGGTAGAATTCGACGAGAGAAATCACGGCACCCAAGACCGAACCTACAACAACGTCGATAAAGCCATGCATACCGCAGTACAGTCGACCGAATACGATGGAAATGGCATAAAAATATGCTAAGCCCTCCAAGACAGTCTTGGTCGTCTCTGGCATGATATTGTCAGGGCTGCGAAGGAGCAATACAGCGTACACGGCCACTGACACGGCATTGGCGCTATGTGTTGATGGAAAGCCGTACTCCATTGCAGCAGATCCAGACATGGTAATTCGGTGTAGCGGCGGGGATAGCGGTCTTGGGAGAGAGAAGAAGTCCTTGATGAAGCCTGTAAAGAAGACGCCCTCGGCTAGGATGTGGATAACACTGTGAGGCCGAAGCTAGTTAGATATATTCCATGCGCCTCTGCACAGCAATTTTTGCTTACCCTTTGCCAAAAGAGGCGTACCCGAACCAAAAGAGCATGGGCAGACCGATCATGAAGAAGGTATGAGTACCGAGATTGGCCGTGATGGCAAAGTAACTATCGAGCCACGGGGTGCGCATCGTTTCCTGCAGATAGGCCAAGTAGGGTGTCTCCCATCGGATCAGTGGCAGCAGCCACTGCCGCAGTCGGTATCGCCATGGTGGGAGCGCTCTCTTATCTGTGAACGGGCATGGTCAGCTCAAAGCTTCAGGGATTGCATGCGGGCATGGCGTTTCGGAGCCCCCGCGATGCGCCAGACTCTAGACAATGTTGTCTGGTAGTACGTGAGACAAGGCTGAGAGAATGTAGCAGCGTACAATGATTGAGGCTTCTGAGGCCCGCATCGGGGGCGTCGCTGGGGCCCATGACTGTGATCAGAGGCGGGGTGGGGGCCTCGGCGACAGCAGCTGGGTCGGCAAGGATTGGGTTCGTGACGGTAGCGTCGCGGCGCTCCGGCAGGGGATTCGGCGCGGCTGCGGCGCCATTCATATGGCTAGTCATCAGGCGGTGTCGGAGGTCGTGGTCGTGAGGCATACGGCCATTCGTTATCTCGCGGGGTGCTGTGGTTCGCTTCTAGTCGCGTTGGCTGCGTGTGGTGAGTATTGGTGGGTAGAGTCGCAGGATCGGAGGGGGTGAGGGAAGTGGTCGATGTAAGGCGTTTAGGATGGAGGGGAAGCAATTGCAGGAAGGGCCGGTGAGCGACTGCGCATTCGGCGTCGATGAAGTCGCTAGGATTCCGAGGAATGAGGGCTGTGCTTGCAAGAGTGAGGATCGCCAGCGACTGGATGGTTGTGAGTAGGCCGCGGGAAGTGAAGTTTGACGTCGAGGGTGCGTGAGGGAAACGATGGAAAAGCACGGGAAATTTGCAGTGGCAGCAGTGGTGGAGGGACTGCGATGTTGCTGTTGCGTTTGCGCCACCAACGGGCGTGGGAACCTGTAGCTGGAACACGAACTGGAGCCACTGTCGAGGTGTGGTGAGCAAGGTACATAAGGTAAGGTACCTTGAGGTAAACGAGGTAAGGTACTCTGGGGGCGGCACTCTTGGGACGCTTGGTGAGGCACTTTGGGTAAGGTATCTTCAAGACTGGGCGATGCCACAGGAAACAAGCATAGAGGTCATCAAGAGGCAGGTGGAAAGAGCCTCGGGTCAAAGGAGACGGCGGGATTCAAGAGAAGAAGAGTAGGTATGTAAGGTGAGGTAGGACAATGAATTTGGGTCGGAAGGGTCCCGCGCTAAGGGTAGCGTTGGAGTCAGGCGTTGCGAACATGGAGGCATCTCAGATTGATCGGTACCTGACAGCAGCAGCAGCAGTAGTGACAGACTGGAAGACACCACCGCCAACACCACCGCCACTCGAAGCACCCGAGGCTGCCCGCACATGGACAGGAATCGACAACGGCGGGGGCGCTCGCCTTAGCTCTCCCGAGTATCCAAGTCGCCAATAACCTTTCACAGGCTTCGGGTACTTTGTTCAATGCACCCAACCCGCGGACCTCCACTCTCCACCTTCTTTGACAAGATTCCCCGTTTCCCGTCTTTGTGCCACCACCACCACCACCATCACCACCATCACTTCATTACATCGTACAGGCGAAGTTGGGAAGCATTACACTGGTCCATCACCACATCGTTCAACATCCAATTTGAGGTGCCTCGCAAAGACCTCGAGGGACATCACATAGGCACGAGACCATGGCCGTCAAGTCGGCCTTCTCTTCATGCACCAGAAGGAGTGGAGTCCACTGGCGGCACCTCCTCAATGGACGGGCATCTGTCTCACCATCAAAGAGCTTGAAATATGAGATGACGAAAAGAAGTGGAGGAAATGGGGCGGGTGCGAGCCAAATGAAGGATAGGAAAGCACCACCAAGCCTCGGCATCAGATTCCTCCATAGATTCCTCCCAAACAATAGAACCAAGCGTCAGACAAGAAAGCACCACCGCAAATAATGCCATTGTAGCACACACACGCACCTCTTGTCCTCTTTGCGAGCGCACATACATAGTACAAACATTAGCCCAAGCTGCCTCAACTCGAACAAGCATCTCCCTAGAATCAACAGCTTTCGCTCTCGTCTCATCCTGTTTTGGTCTAATCCCGCATGCAGTACCACCCTTCGCCAGAAAAGGGATTTTCAGATGTCCACGGGCATTCCGCATTTGCATTGAGCGAATCCGAGAGCCCCTTCTTTCTGCCTTTCGAGAATCCTCATCGCTTCGGTTGTCGTCTTCAAGCTCGAGGTATCTGCCCAAGGTACCTTCTCCAACCTAGAAAGTTACGCGGAGATTTCCATGCAGAGTACAACAACACCCCCACCCAAATTCTAGGCTGAGACATTTGGCATCCTAGACATTCTACACGTCCAAAGCTCCAAAGCTTCGAAGCTCCATAGCTCCAAAGCTCACTTTCCACAATACCCTCCACACGAGGAGCATCGCACCCAGCCACATCATAGAAATTGTAAACATCAGAAACCCCTTTCCAACGAATCATACCGCAGAGCCACAATCAAGCAAATCAAAACCGCCACCATGTCCGGCGCCCTCCTCCCACTCCGTGCCCGGCACTGCCTCGTCACCGGTGCTTACGGAGGCATCGGCGCCGCCATCGCCTCCCGCTTCGCAGCCGAGGGCGCCCTGGTCACTCTCCTCGGCCGCAAGGAAGACAAGCTACGCGACCTCTGCGCCCAGCTCCCGCCCTTCCGGGACGACCGCCTCTCCCCTCTGGCAGCCGCCGTCTCGTCGTCTCCGTCCGAGACGAAACCCTCCCATTCCTACGCCGTCATGGATATCTCCGCAGACGGTCGTGATGAGGCTGTCCTTGATGACATTTGGGTTTGTCTCTCTCCCCCAATCTTTTACACAGTCTCCTTCTATCAACAACACATCACAGTACTACACCTAGAGAAACAAGGCTAGCTAGTTACTCACTCCGTCAAGAAAAGACACATCAACTAACAGGGACATCCCCCGTTCTGCCTCTTCAGAAACGAACAGGCCAGATAGACGTCCTTGTCAACGCCGCGGGTATTGCGCAATTCCAGCTGTTGCAAAACACCTCCCCACAGGCCGCAAGGGAGCTCGTCGACACCAACCTCATGGGCACAATCTTCATGTCCAGGTACATGGCCCAACGCATGAAGCGCAGACGCGCAGACAGGGATGGTAGGTCATGGCATATTACATACACCACGCATATTCGCTCTTCCCACCCTTTTCCCACACAACCGATTTGCCACACACGATCGATCCGATCGCAACAGACATCCGCACAGATGCGCCAGTCTCATGCCAACGCCGCATATACACACACATGCACTGCATCGACAGCCCCGCTGACCACTCGGTCCACTCTTCAGCATGCATTATCAATGTTGCTAGCTTGCTGGCCGAAAAAGGTAGCCCCGGCACAAGTGTCTACGCCGCATCAAAGGCCGGTATTATTGGTATGTTCTTTTTTCTCTTGCTTCTTGTCTCATACATCGCGGGGTCGCCGCGGCTGTATCCTTTGTAGCCCCTCTCCCCAATTTAGTGAAGCAAGTCTAACACCTGCGTGACGCCCTTCTAAAGGCCTCACCCACGCCCTCTCCGTCGAGCTAGGACCACTGCGCATCAGGACCAATGCTATCGTCCCTGGCTACATCGAAACCAACATGATTGCCGGTAAGAGACCCTCTACATGTCTCTCGATTGCAAGCCCGACTTCAAAGGACCCCTTACACCAAAGTCCTTGTTTAGGTAGGCCAACAGCTAAAATACAAATTATCACAGCAATGTCGAGGGAACCCCTCGAGAAGAGGATACCACTGGGCCGCTTGGGGCGGCCTGAAGAGGTCGCTGATGCCGCTGTCTTTCTTGCGCAAAATACTTACGCCAACAACTGCATCCTCAACTTGGATGGCGGGCTCAGCGCTGTCTAAGCTGGCGTGCAGCTGCCCATTGAAGTTGAAGGGACACCACTGACTTGGAGGAAATGGACCCATGCACAATCAGTCGTCGTCAATGACAATGGCTCCACCGGTCGAATCGTCCACGAGGACCACGTCGTCGCTGCTTGTGGTAGCGACTACCTTGGCTTTCTTCGCTTGGATCGGCTCGTCTCCGTCATCCGGTCGAGGCCGCTTGAGGTTTGCTAACTCCTCTGACGCCTCAACAGCGGGCTTGCCGTTCTGCTCACTCAAGCCGTTCGATTCGGCGGGTGCCTCCTTCTTCGGCTTGTGAGGGATCTCGGGCTTCTTGTCCGCGACTAAGCCCTGAATAGGCTTGTCGGCCAGGGGCTCCTTGCTGTGTGGGGGTTAGCTGATGATCCACATACGAGCTTTAAATAGACAGATCAACGTACGATTCCTGGATGCTGATGACGACATTGACGAAGGGCTCGTCATCGTCTTCATCAATGACTGTGAGAAAAGAGTCCTCTTTGATCCCAAGCTCACTGAGCTTCTTGGAGAGGTTCTCCGTCTCATCCGGGTCATAGAGTGGTCCGGCGTCATTGTTCAGGGCGAACTCCTTGTCCCCGTAACCAAGCTCCAGGCGCACAAAGTCCTCGACGAGATCCTTGAGTGTAGCTCGAGACATGTCGACTGTAACGCTCGTCTGATATACGCTGCATACCGGGCAATCTGGGTTAGGACCGCGGTACTTGCTCGAGTTGAGCAGACGGGCAGGGTTGTGAGGAGAGATGAACACCTAAACAGACATTAGACTACCAAACCGGCCAAGACGAATAAAGTTTCGACCTTACCTCCTTAGTCTGAGTGAAGTCGCCTCTCAGCACCTTGAATGATTGAAGGACACACAGTCCGGCGACAATGGCATTGGTTGTCGCAATGGCAGGGATGATATTGCCAGCCATCTGCTTAATATCGAAGCGCGACTTCCTCTCGATGCCGAAAATGGCGGATCGAATATTTGCGCTAGAAGTCACAAAGTCCAACGTGTCCTCGTCGTCCTTGTCGAATGTGATCAGAGGCTCAGGCCCGGACGCGTCTTTGTGTGCTTTCTTCAACTCTAGCATCCGTTTGCTCAGACGATCCAGGCTGTCAACGAACACAGCAAAATTCTCCTCCAACGTCCACACCTGCTGTCCACCCTGCAGAATAGCCTCCTTCGAGGCGAGAGCTGTGGCCGACTTATCTGACAATACCTTGTAGTCGAGGGCCTCAGGTTTCCGTCTAGACTTCCACATATCCTCCATCGACGCAAGTCGCACAATATCGGTGGTGAAGACCTTGTCGAAAAGCAATTGTGGGAAGGCATCCGTACCCAATGATTCGCGAATCGTCCTCAGAGCTGCAGCTTCCTTCTTCAATTCCTCAATCTCTTTGGCGTTCTCGGCATCGGCCGAGTTGTCGAAAGCGGACTCGTCTTCGCTCGTGCCGAAGATTTCGTTGAGGAGATAGCTCTTGCCCCACACGATGCAGTGGATGGGTTGGCTTGGGGTGCTTCGGATAGTGCAGACGGGGAAAGACTTGGGCGTCTCTTTTGGCGTGCAATCATAACATGCTGTAACACCCTTCTTGATGACCTGTACGTTGCCATTGAATCCCGTCGTACCGCTCTCGATGAGAGGAACGTCAGCGGCCAAACACATTCGGTTGACGTGCCGTCTCGCCTCCAGATTGTCGAGCGCATTGAAAACGATGTTGAAGTCACGGAACCACTTTACGTTGAATTGCGGATCCTTGATGTTCGCATGATGCGCGACAATCTTGACCTTGGGGTTAAAGGGCTGCGCCGCGTCCTTGGCGACCTTTATAAGTCAGCGTTACAATTCTCCTAAACCTACGTCATTGCCCCGGGAACCATACCAAAGCCTTGGACTTCTTGATGTGTTCGTATCGGAATAGGAATTGTCGATTGAGATTGCTCAGGTCGATTGTGTCGAGGTCGACGACGTGGACTTCGCCGAAACCCGTGAGCACGATATTCTTGAGAAGTTCGCATCCAATACCGCCAGCTCCAACCATAAGAACGCGCGCCTGCGAGATACGAGTTAGCCCCATCGGCTCTCCAATTGAATCAAAATCCATCGTCGCAAAGAGTTGGGCTGATTTTGGAATAAACTAGGGATGATGTGTGATGCAAGCCGCGATGGCAGATAGGTCGCGTGGTCCGATGCGCCGGGTTCGACGAGGTTGCGACGTACCTTTTTCACGTTGGCGTTCAAGGAGCCGCCGAGCGATTGCTGGAAAAATCGATCACGCGTCTGCACGCCAGGAGGTCGCTGCTGCTGAGGCTTCTGTTGCTGTTGTTTCTGCGTCGTTTGCGCAGGCCGTTGGGCAACTGGTGCGGATTCCGTTTGTGCTGATTGTTGGTGTTCCTGTGGTGATGGTGGTGGTGCCGCCGCCGTCGTGGCGGGCGCTGTCGCCTGTGCCGCAGTTGCTGCAGGTGCAGCTCCTGCTTCCGCGGTGGTATTCATCGGCTCCGTCAATTGTAGTGTGGTTGAGGAGTCCGTTCTGTACGTCGCCGTGTCAATCGATTGTGAAGGGAGGAAGTTGAGGCGATCATGTAATTGGGAAGAAGAGTGAGGGGGATAATAAGCCGCGCCAGGCAGGATGGAACGACGACGGCGGGTGGTTTCAGCACGGAGCGAGGCTGCGAAGACGAAGGTTGAGGATTTCCCTTAGGTTAGCGGAAGGAACGATCGCCTAGCACTGATTCCAGCCAATACCGGTAGCCGGTGACGAGATCCTGCAGGGATTGGAGCTGTTGGTTCCTGGGGAACTTCCGCGCTCAAGTCCTGATTGGCAGATAAAGGCGGGTATCTCTCGCTTGCAAGTGGGAGCTCGCTGAAGCACGCTGTATCCTCAGCGGCCGAATGCATCCTATAGCCACCGTGAAACACTGGACGGACGCCTGCACCCGATACCCGATAAGGTAGGTAACCTTGGAAAGTAAGGTAGCGAACCTGAAGCAGGCACCCAGATCGGCCTCGCTTGCCCACCAGCGAAGGTTCGTTGGGCCTCCACCGGTTCCTTGGGTCCTCTAGTAAGGCCGCGTCTTATCCTCTCTCACGTGGGAAGCAATTGGTTGGATGTTTAGCATCGGGGTTCACATATGTCCTTGGAGTGACGAGATCGCAAGTCATTCGGAGGGGCTTCTAGGATAATCGCCGCTTGTAATTCCGCCTTGGTCCAACAGAAAACAAACGGGTCAGTGCAATATGGGTCTCTTTACCGCCTAGTCCAAAGTTCTATCCTGCCTCATCGTCCCCTCCGTGAAAGACCTGCATAGCCGGCTAGAAGCATCTACAGGTGCAGCCAATTCTAAGGCCGTATTCCTGCGGCTCCTAGCAGACACCAGCTGCAGCATCTCGATAACCCAGGGGCACCCCCGCAGGCTCACCGACCATGTCCGACGACGAGCCCGACCTCGAACTCCTGGCCCTCCTCCGCCAGCGGTTCCAGGGGAAGCTCAACATCGACGATGAGCCTGAGACGGGCGTCCTCGAAGGTGCCGAGTTCGTCTACGACAATTCCATCGACGTCGCCATCGACATGAGGGCCACAAAGAGGGCCGCGGCTACCATCTACGCCCAGATGGAACAGAAGAAGTACTCTACCTCCACCTGGGCAGAGCATGAGCTTCACCCCAAGACCAAGGATGAAAGCACTGCCGCCTTCATCTTCACCATGGACCTGCTCAACTTCTGCTTCTGGTCGGAGAAGCCCGAGGACGAGAGATACGCCGTCGAGTACCGCGGTAAGACCTGGACGGGCTACTGGAGCATGGTCGCTTCGCTGCAGCGCGCCCTCGATGAGGGCATCCCCATCACTAGCTCCGACTTTTGGCAGAGCGAGGACGAGTGCAACTTGGAGGTCCTGAGGCACGTCTTCCGGTCCAAGACGGAAGAGGAGATGCCTCTTCTTGAGGAACGCCTGACATGCTTGCGGGAAGCCGGCACCGTCTTGTATGAGAGGTACAACTGCAGCGTCACAAAACTCATTGAGGCCGCCAACGGCTCTGCCGCAAGGCTAGTTAACCTGCTCGCCCGCGATTTCGGCTGCTTCCGCGATGAGCACAAATTCGACGGTCGTCGGAAGCCGGTGAGAATCCTCAAGAGAGCGCAAATTCTCGTGGCCGACATCTGGGCCTGCTTTGGCGGTGAGGGCATCGGGGCCTTCAACGATATCGACAAGATTACCATGTTCGCCGACTACCGGGTCCCGCAGATCCTCAGCACTATGGGTTGCCTGTACTATAGCCCCTCGCTGGCGACGGCTATCACTGATAAGCGAGTTATTGAGAGTGGATCGAGGTTAGAGTTGCAATTGAGAGGTGAGCCAGCCTAACGACAACGATTCCACCCTTCGATATGTTTGCTAACTAGGAGATAGCGTGCAGTATTTGGTGCGTTGAGCTCATCAAGCGGGAGATCCAAAGGGACCACCCCGGAACGAGCGTCAATGCCGTTTTGATCGATTTCTTTTTGTATGATACCATGAAGGAACTGGAAGCCGCTGGCACAGAGACAATAGGACACCACAGGACGCGGAGTATATGGTACTAGAGCAGCTCGATTTATTGCCGAGATGGAAGGCTTTGAACACCTCTGATAAGGGGTATAATTCATGTTCGCTGTTGTCCGTCTTAGAACATCCCACGCGGTTATTTACAGCAAATTCTCGTTTCGCATCCCTCGTGTTTTGTTGCTGCGAGTTGTAGACTCAGAGAACCGATCCGTCAAGCCGCCGCTGAGAACGCCAAACTCCATCTGCTTCATCGTAATCACACACTTCCTAGGTAATTTGAGCTCCTTCATATCATGCGGCTCCAACCGCGGTCGAGTTCATGAGCTCGTCCAAGTGAGCCCGCTCGGAAGCGTGACTTTTCTTCTCCTCCTTGAGCAGCACCGCAAGGACCTCAATCGGTGGGTTGAGGCCCAGTCTCTCAGCGCGCTGCCAACGCTTCGTACGCTGGAGGCCGATGCAGGGCTGCATATTGGATTGCGTCAGCACCCAATTTCAGTTTGCAATTGGAATGACGACTTACACCGTACTGAGAGCTGACATCGAAGTATCGCAGAACCCTCTCGGCCAAACTCACGTCACTCTGATGCACCCTAGGCGCAATGCGTTGAGCCTCGACCGACTTCCAGTACTTGTTGATCTGGGCATCGCTGATCTTCTCGGCCCTCATTTCAGCCTCCGACTTTTCAGGAACTTCTTCCCTGATGTCCACCTCCTCAATCTCAGGGGTCGCAGATTGCTCGATCTGGATCTCGTCGACATCTTGTTGCTCCTTGCTGGTTGGCTTGGCGAGATCCGATCTATCAATGGCAGAGGAAAGACCAGCTTTCTTGGTGTCCTTGGGTACGGGCTTCGAGACTCTATGAGAGAAACTGATGGTCGATTGGCCTCGTGCCGGGCCAGGTCTGGCGCGGCCTCCTCCTGTTGATCTCCTGGTGGTTGGCATTGTGTGATTTGTCTCAGGTACAAGGGTCTAAATGGGTGCCTGTGAAAGTATAAACTTTGGATGGCTAAGTTACTGAAAGGGGCGATATTGATCACTGTACTCTGCTGAATCTGGGATATCTCTGATCGAAGGTGAATGCTTCAAATATTGTCGCCAAACGGTGTCGCCAAACGGTATTGTCGCAATGTCATCAGTGGACCACAGCGCTGGTGTGCAGTGAATGACGAAAGAGGTAGGAAGGTAATTAGCAGGGGCTTTAATTTGGCGGGGCAACGCGAGGTTGGAGCCAAAGCACGTGTTCTACTGTGTTTTTTGAGTAATGCGCACCGTATTTGACACTGTTCTCATCAACGTGGTTGTTCGTTTCGGCTTGTCTCTATCGTCCATCATTGGATCTACCGCGGGAAAATTATCATATTCCAGGGTATTTTAGATGCACTTCGGTTTTTTCTTTGAAAACCCTTTCCTTTATGCACCCGTGGCTTCTCTATAAAACGAGATGCTTCTGTTGGCGCCCGCTGTACAGAAAGACTCGTTCTTCCCCGTCTTTGGAAGCCACTTGACAGCCCACAGAGCCTTGTCAGTCTCGCTGTGCGTCGCGACGCAGGCGCTACGCTCTATAGACCAGACCTTGACCTTGCCGTCCATTGCTCCGCTGAGCAGGTACTCGCCAGTGTCGTTCCAGTCAACGGATGTAATCCATGAAGCGTGGCCAGTCATGTTGCCGACTTGCTCGCCATTCTTGATGTCGTAGAGCGCAATAATGGATGAGTCGCCAGCAGCAGCGAGTCTTGTGTTACCGGGAGAGAATGCGACAGAGCGGACAGATTTCACCAGGCCTAAAGGGTTTTAATAAAGCATCGTAGTAATTGGACCCTTGGGAAGTGTTACCTGGTAGTGAAAATAACAACTTTCCGTTGTCGTTGTTGAAGACGTAGACAGCACCATTCTGGTGGCCACTTGCAGTGTACCGTCCATCACGGCTCAAGTCGACTGACAAGCCAAAGCTTCCCGAGCCCGGGCTTCCCGTCTCGTACTCTCTGATTTTGGGCGTACCTTCTTCGCCAACGTCCCAGACATTCACGCGGCCGTCGTATGTCGTTCCCGCAAGGAATTTTCCATCCTCACTAAGAGCAATGGCCCAGACCTCGCCAGCCTTGGCTGCCTTGTTTGTGATCTCCGAGTGCAGCTTCCACTCGCTCGTGTCCTTGTTGATGACCCAGATCTTCACCTCGCCGGCGAAGCCTGCACTTGCAGCAACAAGACCATTACGGGAGGTACAGATGTGGTGGCAGCCCAGCTTGTGTGCACCGCTGAGGGATTGCGTGATTGGGATGGTAGGGTCGGCGGTATTATGGATGTGAAGAGTCGACGAGCCGCTTGCAGATAGGATAGCTCTCGGGGTAGCGGCAAGACTGAAAATGTCGGTTATATGGGCTAAAGTTGCTGTCTGTTAGCAAGACGAAGCTCTGGGGACGTGGTTCGGAGGGTTCTCCAGCTTCAGCTGCCAGGTATCTCACCATTGTCCACAGTGTGTGTGGTCAAATATTGTTTCGACTGAATGAGTTAGCTTCTATGGCACAGAGAAGAAGACAATTGAGGCCGTACCATGATTTCCAGCCCATGTGAAGCTCGTACCGCTGTGGTTGATGCGCGTTTGAGAGTGGTAAGGTAATGAACGCGATACGGTCGGGAAGGTGGGGGCTGACATCACACATTTGCGTAAAAAGACCCATGCAAAGAGCAGCCGCCCGGGGCACTGCAGGAGGGGCAATGGAGGGGCACCAGCAGGCACCCTTGCTTGGTCACATCAGCACGCCTACCTCGTTCAACTCCATTCTCTCCGTCCTTTCTTCCCAGTATCTCAGAAATCATTCTTTCTACACAGGACTGGCTCATATTCACCGCAAAGTTATGACCAGGTCTCGATGAAGGTGGAACTTACCTATGACAACCAATGCTATCTACGGTCTACCTGATTCTACACTCCGATAGCCCTCGAGTCCTTGTTGTACATCACACAATGGTTTCTATCAACGCCGTTTCAAAGAAGCAATCTGTAGCCCTCGAGCCTGTCAAATTACCCAGCGAGACGACTTCAACCTTCTGAAGAAATCGCTTCCTGTTCACGGAAGAACTCAACCATTGTAATGTTCTGACAGTAAAGAGCCAGCTCGTATGGCGTCAGGCCAGAGATGCAGGGTTCGCCAGATTCTTTGGCCCCGCCCGAAGTTGTCTTTGCCCGCAAGTCAGCCCCTGCTTTGATCAGCTCCTTTGCAGTAGGTATCATGGTCGCGTCTTGCTTTTGCTGGGACAAACGTCGAGGGTCCGACGGATCAGGGTGCCATCTGCGCGAGTAGCAGGTCAGGTGCAGCGGCGTCCACCCGCGAGGACCTGGGGCGTTGGCATTCGCGCCACGTTTGAGAAGGAGTTCGGCGGTCTGGCTGGCTCGCACACCCCACCTACACACGACGTGCAGTGGCGCGACGCCATTGGCGTCAGTGACGTTGGGGTTGGCGTCGTGGGCCAGCAACCACTTGACGGCCTGGTGCCGCCGGTTGACGTCACCATACGCCGCCGCGAGCAAGGGCGTGCCAAAGTTGTATGTCTTTGACCTTGGCACTCTAGGGAAATTACCGAAGGAATTGTCTACACGTCCGTAGTTCAGCATATCTATCGGAGTTCCCGCTTTCTCGAAGGCATAGTTGACTGATGCGCCGGCCTTGACGGCTGCTTCTAACGCACGGAGGTTGCCGTTGAAGCTGGCCCATCGAAGCGCATACCAGTCGTCTTCTTGGCCGCTTCTCTTGTACAGCTCAACTCTCAAGATCTCGTATAGCGCCCTACATGATACGGTTAGGTTTTTGACGTTGGTGATACCGTCAAGAACGTCCGTTGGCGTTGGCTTCTTGGGGTCTTCGTAGAAATAGTCCTCCACTATTTCTAATTCATTTGAATCGGACTCCACCTCAGTCTCGAGTGCACCGTGAAGCGTCGAATGCTCGATCGGCCTTGGCTTCGGTGGTGGGCCAATGGCTCTGACAATTTGCAGGACGAGCTCCGTTGGGATAGGAACGCCAGCCAGACCAGTGGTTTTGGGACCGTCTTGAGATGACTGAGGTGACTGGGGTAATATCATTTCGTAATCTTGGTTCTACAACAAATTCGTACTTACTAGGTGAAGTTTCCGTTCTATTAACGTCTATGCGGTGCCCATTTTGTTGTGTCAAATTTCCGTGTGTGTCTACTTGCGACCTATTGTTGACCTGGGAGGCGTTGGTTAGAGTTTTATATAGCTTGTAGTCCGTAGACACGAGTAAGCGGTGATCATGTCTATAGACTGACTTCTCACAATGGACTTGTGATCGCTCCTTTGCTCACTGATGTTGATTGTGGCTTGTTAGATCGCACGACTTCATTGTTGCTTTGGAACTGGCCCCTGTTGTCTAGTTGATCAGTTGTGATTCGCAGAGCAAAATTTAGTGAATGACAACGTACCACGACATTACGTCTTTGTTTGAGACTAGAGCCCCTGCTCATATTAAACATGTCTTTGTTGGTCTTATCCGTCCGAGACGATGGAATGGGAATGATAGAAAGAACAAGAAGAGTGATGACAATATCTGAGTCTATACTTCAGACTTTTGGTGAAACAGATATATCTGTTCGCTAAGAATGAAGCTTCTGTGAGTGCCATGTAATTTTGAAGCGCAGGTAAAGATCGAAGACTTGCTTCTCTTCCAAGTAGCAACAGTGTCAAGGGCAACTTGCGAAGGTATCGAACTCACTGATAGCAGGGCGAGACCAGTAAGCTTTGGAAGTCAGTGAAATACTATAGATGACGACATGAAGTGATTCCAAAATATTACGGAGACCAGTTATATGGTGAGAGGCGGCCATTAGGATTGAATCTGACGAGCCCACCCAGTACTGGAGCTGAGTTATTACCTAGGTAGTCTCATTGGATTTGATTATCGCAAACCTTGCCTCAAAAGCCTCTACCTTCTCTAGACGAGTGTATATATTCACGTTTTGTTGACGAGATTTCGCCTCGCATCCTTTATGTTCATGGGACTCCGATACTTCTGTAAGTGGACAAAAGTCTGTATCAAGAGATGCTGGTAAAATCGATTGTGGTGTATGAATCGCACGCTTTCTCGGTAGAAAAACGTAAATCAACCAACTAAAACTAGATACCGAGACGTCTACTACCTTCAGCACTACGGTAGTGTGCGTCATTGAAATGGTATAGCCAGCCTATTGCGTCAGAGCTGTAAAAATTGAATATTTATCTTGGAAACCCATGGCCATTGCAAAGCCATCGGCTACGAGGGCCAAGCGGTACACCTTTAAGTTAGCTTTCCCAGAGCCTGATCCTTCAGCCTAGGCATTAAACTTCAATGATCTTTGATCAAGGATCAGCTCATGCTTCCTTATAAGTCGGACGATGAACCGCACTTCACGAGAGCTTTAAAAGGTTTCAATATCTATCTCCCTAATTGACTTTTTTTTATTGATTTGTATCAGGCAACCTTGACGAGCGGCGGCGAATTACCTTCTTACCTTCTCAATCAAACAAGTTCGAGTCTGCGCAGACTTTCAAAAGTTTGCACAGCAACTTCGGTCCGGGAGTTATGTGGAGCGATCTGAACCAGGCACGTTGTAATGTATGGTGGAGCTGCATTCTCGTGCCCTCCCACGGCTTTCAGATACGGATCATGTATGCTGGGAGTGCCCCGTTTCTTCGGGGGAACTGCAGCTGCAACGAGGCAACTTCTGGAAATGAAAACCAGAGCCTATCTCTGACGCAAAGACGGGAATTTCCAAGAGCCCAAGTACTCTCGTATATGAAAGAAATGAAGTTGATACTTCCGGCCGGATGTACGAGGAGCTTGGAAGGCACAATATGATCAAACGATGAACCATGCGGGTAAGGACACACGTGGAGGTGACTCTCGCTTCCGAATTACGTAGTTTCATTGCCAGAAGATGCCATTTGACGGTGGCTAGTCACATCAGAAGAAGGTGATGGATTGTCCCAAACGCCAGAGTATGCTAACCAATTGTACACTTGAATATACACGTCTCGAAATGTTACACGGCCATTAGGCGATTTAAACGAACTTTCCTGAGGGGTTCTCTTCTTTCCACAAGTCTTTAATCTCTGCACAACGGTTGTCAGGTCGAAGAGTATGAGAAATGCTTCTTGCAAGGGAGACGTACTGCTCAGGCAGTGTGGGCATACCACGTGCTGCCTCTTCGTCTGGCCACAACCAGGGCATTTGCACAGAGACTTGACATCCTGCAAAGCCTTGCCTGCCATCTGCCTGTGTCTCTTCTTCGAGTGAGAGGTCTTCTTCTTAGGTACAGCCCGCAGGATGGACTCCCAGATGCCGCCGAGCCAGGCGGGGATGTTGAGGTTGAAAGCGGGAAGCGCGAAGGAGAGCGCCGGGAGGAAAGACTTAGTGACTTGGCGGGTATAGAGAGAGAGAATTCTTGGTGACTGAGCCAAGGCCGGGGCGGAAATACGGGGGAAGAGGGAGGTCATGCGCAAAGGCTGCGCGCCCATGGCGATGGCTGCCATTTTTTTTTTTTTTTTAGTTAGATGGTGATGGATCGACTTGAGCTCGATTAGAAACTGAATGAGGGGTCGTCGGGGAGTCAGGGACCGCTGGAACTAGGACGCGTACGTGGGGTGACCGCGGTGTTGTTTCGGATCGTGGGTCTTCTGCCGCTGTGTATCGAGGGTTGGTAGTTGCGCAGTTGTTCTGTCGCGATGCAGTGTATATGCGTTGAGGCGGCTACACCACTGTCGTTAGCATCGCGAGGCTCAAGCTTGTTCCATTCCGAGCCGGAAAAAAAAACGGCTTGCGACCAGGGAGCTATCAATTAAGATCTGCCAGCCAATCACAGCTTCGAGTGTGCACAGACCTCCGTCAGCCAATCATCGCGATGGGGACCCCTTTTCCCCTTTCCCTCCACCCCCCCTGCACCTCCCTGCAGGGAAATTATTGTTTGCTGGAAGGAGCAACCTATTAGCTGCAGCCAACGGCTACAGCCAGTGCCTGGCAGACAAGACACGGGGGGACGGGTAGCAAGCAAGTGCCAGCAGAGAGGAAATTACCCTTGGTTGGGCCATTTGGTTGACTTCCCACCGTGGATCATTCACCGGCTTCTGTCCTTCAGAAACATCCGTCAACCTCGTGATCCTCTTTTCTTTCTCCCTGCCCATCGCCTACTCCAACTCCGTCCCTCCTCACCCTTGACGAGGCCGCAATTCGAGTCCAAGTAACAAATACCTTTCTTGGTATACAGAAACGTATTACAACTTCACTCCTTAACAGCACACACGCGCCCACCGTCCACTCTCGCTCCCTTGCGGAAAAGCTGTCACAATGGCGCAGCCTCAAACCATCTTCCCCCAGACCCATGTCGGTTTCGACAGCATCACGTCCCAGATTGAGAAGAAGCTCCTGAAGAGAGGCTTCCAGTTCAACGTCATCTGTGTCGGTAAGTTATTCCCATGCAACCCTAGATCGCAATCGCTGGCCTAGCAAGCTGGCTTGTTCGCTGCGTCGCGTCGGCAGTCGACTGACTGTATCTCGGGATCCCCATGAAATAGGCCAGACGGGTTTGGGCAAGTCGACCCTGATCAACACCATCTTCGCCTCCCACCTCATCGACTCCAAGGGCCGTTTGATGCCCGATGAGCCCGTCCGCTCCACCACCGAGATCCAGGCTGTCTCCCACATGATCGAGGAGAATGGTGTCCGTCTACGCCTCAACATTGTCGACACCCCCGGCTACGGCGACCTGGTCAACAACGACCGCTGCTGGGATCCCATCGTCAAGTACATCAAGGACCAACACTCCGCTTACTTGCGAAAGGAGCTCACCGCTCAGCGAGAGCGCTACATCCAAGACACCCGCATCCATGCCTGCCTCTTCTTTATCCAACCTTCGGGCCACTCCCTGAAGCCTATCGATATTGTCGTCCTGAAGAAGCTCTCCGATGTTGTCAACGTCGTTCCCGTTATCGCCAAGTCCGACACCCTGACTCTTGAGGAGCGCCAGGAGTTCAAGGAACGTATCAAGGAGGAGTTCGCTTTCCACAACCTCAAGATGTACCCGTACGACAACGACGAGTTTGATGACGAGGAGCGCAGCCTGAACACCCAAATCAAGGTTAGTCATGCGATGCGGTCCACGCATATATTCCGATTGCTGACAAGCCCATAGGATCTGGTCCCCTTCGCCGTCGTCGGCTCCGAGAAGTCCATCATCGTCAACGGCAAGCAGGTTCGCGGTCGCCAGAACCGGTGGGGTGTCATCAACGTCGAGGACGAGAACCACTGCGAATTCGTCTACCTGAGAAACTTCCTTCTCCGTACCCACCTCCAGGATCTCATCGAGACCACCTCGCAGATCCACTACGAGACTTTCCGTGCGAAGCAATTGCTGGCGCTCAAGGAGAGCAGCGCGCACGGTGGCGGCAGCAGACCCATCAGTCCTGCTGCTGACCGCGAGCTCAGCCGGAACTCTCAACGAATGACCATGAACGGATACTAGTTTACGGATATTCCACCCTACCCACTCGAGGAGCCTTATGGCCATGATTTCCTTGGGCAGCTGGGTTTCTGATGACTTTTAATCTCATGGTGTTATGCACAGACCAAAAAGAATAGGCGTGGTACTGCCTCGACAGCATGCGGATGCTGCATCGACTAATAATTCAGAGGGAGGTAGCAGCTGCTACGTCCGTGGGAAAACTTGGCGGAAGTGATTTCGCATGGGAGGCTCGAACATGCTTGCGTGGCGCACGGATATTGGCCATACCCTCCCCCTCTCTAGCCTTATGGCCGTTGTTTAAGTACTCATGCTGGCGAAATAGTCCAATATTCCCCCTTTCTGCCTCTTCAGCTGGACGCACTTCTACTGTTTTCTTATTTTCGCTTTTTAAGCAGCATTTCAAGCTCGGCTTCCCTTGTTCCCCCCATTTCTTCTTACACTTTAATCCATTCGTACTCTGATAGAGAGTTCGTTTCGATACCTCGTGGAATACAACCGACATGGCTTATGACTTGAGGGCGCCCATGTTTCTCATGCTGTGTATTTCTCTGTTCCAAACATTGGCCAGAG